AAACTGAATTTGCATTTGTTTCTTGAAAACCTGAAAAAACTAATTGCAGCATCATGTGGTTTGGGGCCATGTTGTTCAGCTTTTGAACAAATCTAAAAAGATCTGAGCTGTTGCTGATGATCACAGCCTGATGACTGTTAGCAGCACTGATGCAGCATCTCTCCCAGCAGACTGGAAGAAGTTATAATACTGCAGTGTGAGAAATAATACCTGTGTAAGTGTATTGTAGAAACAGTGCAGTATGAGCAGAGTGTTACAGAATAGGTTTTCCTCCCACCCAATGTGTCTGAAATACTGTAAGCCAAAGTGGGATCCTGTTAATGGTTATTTGAATTTCCTTAATATTGTTTCATTTGACCCGCTGTATTAATTTTTGTAATAGGAACTTGCCACAGCAGAAAGTTAAGTACTCAAAAATTAAAAAATGTAGGGATTAAAATATTGGCCAAAGTTGACTTTTAGTCTCATTTCATACTTGTTACTTCAGGTTTCAAGTTCAAACTGATCTCCCAAGTTATCACTTCAAATGCTGGAACAGAATATCAAAGAACACAGGAAAGCAACATATTTTCCATTCAGAAAAAATAAATTATATGTGTTTTCTGAAGCTGTATGAGGCCTGACTTGATTAAAGCTAGAGAAACCTGCTAGGAGACTTTCCTGTCCTGGTCCTGCCAATTCATCACTGTCCCAAAATACAACACCCTTCCTGTTCCAGCCATGGACTTGGTCCAAAACTGACAACGGCGTGTAACGTATTTTTGGAAGATGTGTGTGAAAATCCAATAGAGACGCAGGAAACATCACCACACTCCAACATCTGTGTTAAGTGAACTCTCCAAAGTCAGTATCCTGAGGTCTAGGTGAGGTAATTAGTTTATAAACTGAGTGGTTCCAAGCCTCGTAACTGTCTGGTAATGTCTTGCATTGGCTTTCTATTTCCAGAGCAGGAAAATGGTCTTTAATGTTCCTTCAGGTAACACCCATCCTGTTTAATTCATATGCTTGCCTACCTTCCATAACTTCATGGGGTTGTGTTACTTCCTCTGGCTTCTTCTCCTCATTTTTGGATGACCTTTTAGATGTTGATTTGTTTGCTGGAGGAGTCTTAGGTGATGGCGTTTCTCTGTGTGCTGAAACAAATAAAATAGTCTGTTAATGGGAGTGTTTTTCTTTATAGGTGCTTGGTGTCAACTGTATAAGAAGAAAGTGATTACAAAATTTCAGTGACCATCTCCTATATAAATCTAAGTTTCTCCCTATCTATAGGATTCTTTAAAGTATTATTCAGGGGAAAAAAAAGGAAAAATACCCTTCAGATCCCAAAGTGCTTAATCACAGACGGGAGAAATGTTTTTCCTGGAAGTTTGAGGTGAGGCATTCTTTGCTAATGTGAATTTTGAGGTGGGAAAAAGATGAATTCTGAGTGGAGCTCCACATTCTGAAAACTTGTCTAATTTTTTTTGTCAGCTTCTTTTTTTGACTACAGATGTCTTGGGGCTTACTCACTGTAGTGTATCTCTGAGAGCTACCATATTAGCCAAGCATTTACTTTGATAATCCCCTGAAGATTTAGTTATATTGTAGTTCTTCAGACATGTGATAATTCTGCACATAGTGGTCATTTCAGAGAGAACATCTTAAAAGCAATAGTTTCCTTGAAAGAGACAGAAGCTACAAAGTAGGTATGGACCAAAGAAACAATGCAAGGTCTAAGTATTAAGTTAACTTCTAGTAGGCTGAGTTTTAGGAGAAACTGAAGGTTTGTGTTCAGATTTTCCAACTCTAAAGATTGCATGGAATTTCACTTGCATCCAGTAAGAGCCAGAAAATATTTTTTAATTCATTGTGGGGTAAAATTGTACAATGGGAAGTGAGACCCTCTCTTCCCACTAGCATAGCCTTGTAGAAGGATATTGTTAGTTGTGAGAAAAGCATGATGGAGCTTATGGTACCTGCGGAATCTTTTAGATCCAACTAAGGGAGTTGGTAACTGCCATAGGTATGTATAATGAGCTTTTCACAAAAGGAGTGGTGGTTTTGTCTCATAAGGTGATGACCACGGTATCAAAGGATTTACTTTCATAGCAAGCTAGTACTCGAAGCAAATAAGGTTGGATGGTGGACTATATCCTGAAGCTTTTCTTGAGAAAGAGAGAGAAATTGTAATTGTTGCATAAAAACACTTCGGGAGCTGAATCAGCTTTCAGACGAGTCAGTAGTGGCAGGGGGGGGAATGTTTAACCAGTCCTTAACTGTGTATGCATGTGTATTCTGGGGGTAAAGGGCTTCTGGAGGATAGGAAAGATAAAAATGATTTCTAGATATAAATTGTAAACTTAGCTTCACTGTACAGAACAAAGTGTTCAGAAGATGCAGAAACAGCAAAATTAAAGTTCACTGCATGGCCTTAAGTTATTGCGTTATTCCAAAAGATTTGACAGGTTTCCCAGTTACTCACACATAGCGAAAATACCAAAATACTGAGTACAGTTGTAGGCTGGGTTTCGGGGATTTTTTGTTGGGTTTTGTTGGGGTTTCTGACAAAAATTAATAGCAAAGCTAAGTAACTAAAATACTAGAAGAAACTCTCTAAGATTAGGAGCAGTTGGTTAACTTTTCATTATATTTGAACTGAAGAACAGGTGAAAGAGCTAACTATAGTTTGTGGGCGTTCATGCGTGTTAAGCTCCAGCAGTAAGAGGGAGGAGTTAAGCAACCTCAAAGGCAGCAAATTCACCTAAAGAGTCTTTGAAGATATTTATCCTCTTCTAGACATCCAGTCAAAAAATGTTGAATACAGAGTCTATTTCCGTATAAATTACTATACAACTGAGTAGCAAAACCAAGCCGCTATACCAGCACTTGGGGACTGGGAGTGCTTAGTAATGTGAACCAAATGATGAGCCGTAACTCATCTTGTTTGTTAAACTGCGTGCTTTGGAAATTGGCTGCCTTGGAGGTAGTCTGGTCTGTGAATGCAGCAACCCAATGCCAAGCCATATTTGCCAAGTGTGTTCACAGACATGAATTTAGGTCCATAAGTAGCAAAAAGTTTAAGGACATGATGAAATGAAACATGCTCTGTTGGTGTTTTCTAGACTAGAACTTAATTGCTGGTGTCGTTAAAGCTACATGAAGGTGAAACTGCTCCTCCTCCAGATCTGTGTCTTAGTGCTCAACTAACAAAAACCCATCAGGTTCTGCAGTGAAGGACAGAATAAACAAAAGTGACTGTGGGTCAGAGTAATCCTTCCCTGAACTGAATTTGCAGCCTAAAGGTTAAACGTGCATTAAAGTTCCTCTTGCTGCAGTGTGAATGTGTAACTGCTTCTAACCAGGCAAATCCTACAGCTCCTCCCTCTTGCCCCAGAGGACAGGTTTCTGTGTTGGGCTGCTCTTCCCACTTTGGATTCGAGGTGGGGAGGATCTAGGGGATCTCTTTATATATTTTGCCAGTGACTACAGTAACCCAAAGCAAGTGGTCTGGAGGTTCAAGTAGTGCTATCCCAATGCAGGGTATTCTCCACTTTTGGATGGGTGGGGAATTTAAGGGAGTTGGACCTTCCCTCATTATTACTTTTTTTGTAAGGTGAACTAGACTTTTTACTGCAATGTGTCATTCATTTCCCCCAGCTTCTGTCCTTGAATTGTATTACTGATGTAACTTAAGCAGCATGAGTGGAAGTGCACGTGCGAAACCTGGCCTTGACATGTATTATTCTGGGTGACGGTTCTGATAGTAAATTAGAGTATGGCTAGTGCCAAAAGAGGCTAACGCAAAATAAAACTTTACCCTCAGAATTCGTAACTTGGTGATGGCTTCCAGTATATCTACCTTTATGCATCCGTAAAGTAGTCATGCTTGAGAAAATGGCCAATTTATTTTTTAAATTAGGTTTTGTTATTTTTGTTTTGTTTGTTGTTCAGTAGCTAACTTCTTGTGTCCTAAGAAGCCTGCACAGTTAATGTTTTATGGTAATGCAAAGCATCTATATTTAAATACATCTAGGGAAAATACAGCGATAAAGAAATTTCTTACCCTCTTTACAGTGTTTCGTGTAGTCTGGGCAACATTTGCCGTATCTTTCACAGTCTGCATCACAGTCGCACTCTCTTCCTCTTTCAAAGGCTTCAAAGCAACGTCCTCTGCAGGAGACTGCTGCATAAGGCAGAACAAGAGAGTTAGTATTTTTGGCTAGCTCACATTTAACACTGGGACCTTTCTACAGTGAAGTCGATTTGCTTAAGCTGATGTAAAGAACAGCTTCATAAAATCAGGTGATAATTCTGGTCTGATCCAGAGCTTGTTTGTTTGTGTAACTGTGGGTTTTGGATCAGGCCGTACAACCAGAACTGCACTTTGCCATTGCAGTATATTGATTCCACTTAGAACTTACAGTGGGATAAAATGTGACCTCAGAGATCACTTTAGCTAGGCCCCGCCATTGAAGGCTTCCATTTCCCTAATCAAATAGCAGTTATCTCAAGAATAGTGTTTAAATTCTGGGTTGGATTTTCAAAAAGATATTCATCAGAGTACCACTTTGCATCAAGAGTGATGTGTCTACCATAAGCATTTCTAAAAAATAATTTGCAGAAATAGGTCATGACCAAGTGTACCTGGTGTCTCTGGGCAAATACTGCAACTTAATTGCATGAATGAGTTAATGAAGTTACAGAGTGACTATTCTTGAAATGTTATCCTAGTCTATTTAATACAGTTCTTAAATGATTAGTACTAAAGGAGTATCTGCCATGTTTTGACACAATTAATAACCACATGCTTTTAATATTTCATTATTGATTAACTTCTGACAACTTCAGTTACTACAGTACTTCTGTTTCATATCAAATAATGACCAAATTGTTTTGGAAAGTGTGCACAGCTATTACAGATTTCAGCAAAACATGGTTGCTGTATTTTTTGAGGACAAAATTTGACCCTAAATTTTACATTGCATTAAATTTACATTACATTACAATCTAATATTTATTAACATTAAGTAGTACCTTTAATAGGTACTAAGTTAACTTAAATTGAAGTGATTATGTTAGACCTGAAGTGGATATTTTTTGAGGATGCTTAGCATCTCATAGAATTGAGCCAACAATTAACTATCACTTGGTATTTCCAGAATTTACCATATGCTCTGTTATTCTTGTCCTGTATCTTTTCTGTACATAAGTCTCTATTGAAGTCATTGTCTTTGTGGCACGCAGGGCATAAAATCATATTTTACAATTAAATCACTATCTAGCAAAATTGGGATTACTGTATAGGCAGATTCTGAACGCCTTTTGACCAGTGTAAATGTGGAGTGAGTCTGTTGATGCCAGTGGATTCATCCCACATGCATAGGTGAGAATTGTTTTTATTTTATGATGTTGGGGCAGTTTTTATTCATAAATGATGTCTGGCATTTCTCTGATTTAGTCAGCATCGATCACGCACTAACTGGGCAATGGTCCTTAGCCAGACTGCCTGCATCCTTTAAGGATGGTGCCTACTGTGCTTGCCTGAATTCAATGATTCAGGGTAGAACAGGGAAAACTTCCTCTAGCCTTAAACTTTTTATTAAATGTTATGTAGATGCCAGAATGACTTTAGAATCTGGCCCACAATAAATAAATAGCCTACATAATTAAAATGCCTCAGTATGTACTTTCAGTTATGAAAAGTGCTGATGTCCCTCGCAAATCAAAATCAGAATGGGGAAGACTGAAGTGTGAATTTCCAGCGTGCGTGTCAGAATTAGCATTTTAGGGAGCACTGCGTCTGCATTTTGAACAACACTGGGCCTGTGTTGTTGAATCTGAGTCTTATCTTACACCTGTAACCTTACTAGAACTACAGTGTAGTGCAACAGCTGCAGTTATGTAAATCACTGATACTTTTGACATTGGTGATTTGTAAGAAATTTTTTTAACTCTCAGTAAAACAGTTTGAAACACCTGTATTTATTTACACTATACAGTTTTACATATAAATAAAGCATATAAAATAATACTCATCCAACCATCTTTTCCATCAAACTCTGGACGTGGTTCTGATCTGGAGTCAATTTATATCCATGGAAGGACACCCTCTGACTTTGGATTAGACCCTACAGCCTCCACACGTCTTAAATTTGAGTTGGAATGTCCCAGAATTTCTTCCTGGAAAACCCTGAATTTGCTTTTACCAATTTTTTGTATAAGAGAAACAGATATAGTACAAATGCACTAAGGAGAAGAAAACAAGCAGTAAGTAAACTGTTTCCCCCCTCTTGCCCTGCTCTGCTCTTCTGAAAAGCAAAATCCTTTTCTTGGTGATAACCTGTGGATACACAATTTTCTCTGAATGGGTTGCAAGAGGTTATCACTGAGTTTTTGAGAGGGAGAACAATGCGTGTATGAGAGGAGAACAAGGACACAGTGAACTAAAAGAGACATTTAAGCATTCCAAGGACAGACACTGGTATGGTAGGGAATTGGAGCAAACGGGAGGGAAAGTCTTGCCGATAGGAACTGGCTGTGTTGGGGAACTTACCCACTGTGCAGACTTTCTTGAAGTCAGGGCAGCACTCCATGTAGTGTTGACAGTTAAAATCACAGTGGCAGTCATGCTCTCTAGAATACCCTTCCCCACATCTCCCTGTACAGCTTGATAAATCTAAAATCACACAACACTGGTGTAAACATTGCCAAACCGAAATGGTACGTAAGGATATGCTGAACAGCAAAGTAGTAAGATTTATCTTTTTTTTTTTTCTACAGAATGCCATTTCTTCACTCAGTTTTGCAGAAACTGTGGGCCTGGTGCAACCTCTCCTGAATGCATGTGGATCAGAGGTTTGTTCTGAGCCAGCCTGAGGACTGGCAGCAGCACGCTCAGGTTAAAGCCTAACTTATCCTGTTTCTCCTGAAGATTAATGAATCCCTGAGGACTGGTTCGGTAATATGGCCACACCAGTTCTGGCATCCAAACTAGCCCATGCAGATTTATCTTAAGTAGTGTATCAGCCAGGCACTATATTGTTTTGCAGACTTACTCTCCATCTTAATTCACCCTACGTATGGTTATAGATGGGCACCTGCACTGCTGTACCTGAAAGACTCATTTTACTTCTTGTAATGTTCTACATAATAATCAAATAAAACCAGTTTAGCTTGCAAACTGGTGAGCACTGTCATGATAAATACAGGTCCCTGAAGCCATTTTTATTGACAGTTTTCAAAATCTGCCCGCCCTCTACATTATTTTTTTCCCTGAGGTCAGAGAGGAATTTGGTATCAACTCTGAGGTTAGGAACAGTTGGGATCTAGTCCTGCAATCTTCTGTAAAGTACTTTCTGTTTGTTAATTAGGAGATTACTTATTAGCAGAGTAACATAAAAGCTCATCGCACAACGGCTTTACTGCTAGACTGCTGTAGTGTTGGAAAATGCTAGATAACAATAAATGGTGCAGGTTACAGGTGGTAAGCAAAACGTCAGGAGGTCTGCTTTCAAACTGCACGCATTCAAGCTTGGCAGTGGTGTGTTACCTTCTACTGCCAGATCAGATATTCACCCCACAACAACTCCCCTTCCTACACGAAATCTCTACTGACATAACATGCTAACAGCTTCTTCTGGAAGTGAAACATGCAGGACCACAAGTGAAGCACCCCTAAATACAAACAAAGAAGCTGAACAATCAGCAAGCTAAAACAGAGTTAAGATAATCAGCTGAAACATTGAGGAACAACAAGAAAATAACAAGAAATAACATATAACACAAAACAACACCAAAGACAACTTCAAACAGCACATACTCCATGTGTGTGTACGAAGGAAGACTATGGGATAACAAATAATTATATATATTGTGATTTTGAGCAGTTAGGTATAATGTTTGTTAACACTTCTTTACAAATAATGAAGCGGGACTAGGGAATAAATGAAGTTAATAGACTTGAGTTAATGGGCTCTTAACAGGGGAGTTGAAAAGAGAAGCTAGGCATCTTTCTTTATGGATATGTGCCCAATATATTGCACCCTTCTTCCCTTATGGGAAGAAAATACAGATAAGTCCAAAAAGTAACACCTTTTCATTTGTTTATTTGTTTTAAGTTTATGACTTGTAAGTTATGAAGTTACTTCTAAGGAAAATGCCTAAATGGTTCTAGTTGCTATTGGCAACAGTTTTGATTTTTGCTGAAAATAGCGGGAAGGATCCGATCAACTACAGAGGGTGCAGTGTCAGACTCCTCTGCCCTGCAGGTCCAATCCCACCTCTGCTGTGCCCTGATGAGCTGCTCAGATATGCAAATGTTATGTCTTCTACTATCAAGTAGTAATAAATTATTTTCTACCAGCAAGTAATACACAATGTTATCACCATAACAACTTCATAGCTATTTGAGAACTGTGACAGCACAGGACTTGCCAGGCTGCAAGTTCTTCTGTTTCTTCATAACGGTGCTACTTGAGTTAGAAATCAATTACAGAGCTTTGAGAGTAAATAAAAATCTGTAGTATTAGACAAATAATTGCCAAAATTGGCCTTGGTAATAAGTGCATTTAATGGCAAAGCACTTAGCACAGTATAGACATTCCTTTCCCTGAGCCTATTGTATTTAAATATTTCTAACCAAATTATGTGGATATTGTAATTTTAGATTCTTCCTTGAATCATACTGCAAATCACTTGGGCTAAATATGTCAGTCTGAGGGCAACAGGATCTGTACAGAAAAAGAAGCAGGTTCATACACATTTTGCATGATATTCATATTTATATGTTATTCCTCCAAAAAAAAGGACCATGCTGTGCCAAAATATATATATGAAAATATTCAGTGATGATAAAACTGAATCATAATGCCTGTCTGAATAAATATAAAGTTCTAGAACTTAGTATTTTCATGAAGATGCATTTGAAGCATTCTTAGTATTTGTCAGATATCCTAGACACCCTCCCCTCAACTTTGTATGTTACAGTACCTTCAGAAGACACTTCTTGAATCAAAGACAGTGAAAGGATCACCAGGGATACACAAACTATGTTCCATGTGATCATTACTTTCAGGTACGACATCATCCCTAAAAAGAAATAATCTCACATCATTACATGCAATTCAATTAATCAGTTCATAATTTTCAAAAAATTGCAGTGCATATCTTTATACATAATACTAGTTTAATAACAACATAAAATAATACTAAAATTATTCAAGCACAAATTGTTAAATTAGAATTACTCCATAAATCCTCCCTTGGTTATTAGTTGATTAGCTGTTAAATTTTGTAGTAAGACTAGGAAAATACATTATTAACAAATAACAGAAGTAATTTTTGCAGTAATTTTTTGCAGAATTCTATTATGTGAAAACTACAGTCAGAGTCTTCTCCTTTTAACATGGATGCACTTCATTAGAACAGTTTCTAAGGTTATAATACTGATAAATGTAAAGTAAAAAAAAATACTGTCAAAACATTAGTTATTAAGCAACATAATTTTATAAACCATAATCTATCATTGAAATATTAAGTGTTTCAATTTGTCAAATGGAAATGTAGGATAAAAGTAAATCTTCTTTCAAAAGGAAAACTTGTCTGTTTTTTCTGTTCCAGTTCATCATTTTCCTTTTGAAGAAGAGCACTTTGATCAAAATGCTCAGAGTAGAGATAGGTATTACACTTACCTAACAAAGAAGGTGTCTGCTCTCAGTGATGTTTCTGATGCCTTATATATTGCTTTGTAACTATGCTGAGGTTAACTAATTAGCTTGTTAAACAAAACCACCAATGACAGCTTATGACAGCAAACTTTCCACATGAGTTGGAAGATGTCCCAGATGACTAGACTAACACAACATCTGGAAAACACTCCCATTAAGAAAAATGATTACAGAAAAAACTAAATAGGGACTTACTAGTCAAAACACATTTTGATTACTGAGTGAAATGAACAAATTGTCCTGAATGCATCTGGAAGGCATTAGATATATTGCATAGCAATAAAAAATCATTGTAGGCAAATGCTGAGTATATTTTCTTTCCTGTCAAATGTAGCTTAGGTGACAGTAGCCTAAAATTATGCAGTATTATCTGCTACTGATAGTGTATCTTCTCCAAAAAGTTTTGAGATCTAATTCGTGCAGTCATAAGTAATTTGTTAGTTCTGCACTAAATATATAGTACTTTTCCCTGAACTGAATGGAAATTTTGGCAAGGTATTGGCTAGAAATCAAAGAATTTATCTGAATCTCAAATTTATTAAATATAATATATGTAAAGCATAAAAAATGAATGAGAGAGACTTAAATTGTTTCAAAGGTCTTTGTGTTTATTGCTTCCAGATTCGGGGTACTGGAAATGGTTATTTGCAACTGTGTCTCAGAGCTAAAGGAGGTTTCAATTGAAACTTTTAATGGTCCTGACTCTTGGAGTTTGGGGGGATTTTTTTATTCAGAAGCTATCCTAAAGGCCAGGGAACTTTGATAATTCTGTCTCATGATATTACTTGAATCCCAAAGTAATTCTGTTATCCCAAAATAATAAATATGGTATAATGTGCATTGATCCCAATTGAGGAAAGCACTTAAGCATGAACTTGAGTCTCTTCAGGAAAATAATGTAGACTCCTCTGAAAAGGAGTGGGTTTAGACATGTGCTTGAATGTTTTCCTCACTTGGTCTGATGATTGTGCATCTTTAGTATTTTTATACTAGAATTTCTTTCTAATTTCTGTATTATCACAATAGAGGCAGTTTCATTCCATCTTTCTGCATTGTGGACACTTCTAATTGCTTTCATATCACAGTCACACTTCAATTAATTGATTCCAGGTAATAAAAGGGTGCTTTTTCGTTGCTCTAGGAACACATATAATCTTTGTAAAAGTTCCTAGAGTTATTTAGACAAGTGTTAAGTGGGAGCACTTACATAGTGTTGATTTGCTGTTCAAGGTTCTCTGCCCACTGCTAACCTGCTTATGAAGTAACTACTTCTCTACTTTGTGGAAAAGGGAACCTGAGGCTCTGAGATTTTATGGAGTTTATTCAAGGTAATACACAGAAGGAAATATATATTACATGTCTCATAACAAGAACTTCAATGCTGTCTTTAGTGGAGCTGACTATAAGCTTGATAAAGAAAATCTGTGGTTTGAGAAGAAAGGTACCTGTATGGATATTTAAAGCCTAGGGGAGAAAAAGTTGTTAGGGTAGCTAAATAGGATCAACATGATGAGATCGGTTTTCTAGAAAAGTACTAAAATCCTCATACCTTAAATAATTTATAATTTGATCAAGCAAACCATTTAAGACTACATTACTGAGTATATCCTTACTTTGATATCCATGATATGGAGAAGATTTGTTGACTTTTCCATCATCTGACAGCCAGTACAGCTGTGAGTCCCAGTTAATACTGGCTAGCTACCTGAGGTGAAAGAATATATACACAGTAGTAAATAAAAAGTAACAGAAGCTCAAAATTATTATCATGCTTCTGTTAACATGTCAGTACTCAGTTAACTCATATGAAGACAATTAGGTGTATACACAACTTGAAAATATGGGTAGTTATGATTGGCTGCTACATTTATTATGTGTTATGGATATGTTCATTTTGGTAGGGTTGTATTGCTTCATTTCTCTTATGAACTAAGTTTTTGGATTGTCAGAGGTGACATGGGGTTGAGTGACATGAGATGAGTTCCCAAACTGTAGTTACCGGATTTCAATTGCAGTTATCTTCATTTGGAGTGTGTGTTTGTTATAGTTGAATGACTGTTAGGTGGTCATTAAAGTTTCTTTAGCATTAGTTATACAAGCTTTGAATATAAACTGATACTGCACAGTGTTTCCTTTCCTTCAGGTCAATGTAATTTTAGCTAGCAGCATCTGACAAAATATGCTGGATTTTTACCAACCTGTGTGGGTTTCATTTACTTTTGTGATACATGAAAACTGAGGTTCTCATAAATTTGCTGTTATCTGTGCAGAAAAAAATGTATTTGAAAGTCTTTGTATGGCTCTTCCTTATAGTACTTTTCTCTATGTAGTTAAATATTAATTTAGAAGAATACACTTTTTGAAAGACTGGTTGAAGGTGAAATAGGAAGGCTTTTTTGGAGATTAAAGTACTCAGGTAGGAAACAAGTTCAGATTGACTTCCAGTTCTGTGACAGGCTTGGTGTCTGAGTTTTAGTCAAGTCATTTATGCTGAAGGGTAAAACAGGATTTTCAGAAGTGCCAGTTAAATACTTTCATAAAAATCTCTTTTTTTTTGTAACATATACATTATTAAGCTCCTTCCGCAGGTAGGTCTAGCTTCCATGTATGCTGTATGGGATAATTCCATAAGTGGATTAACAGGACGTGAAAAGACACCTTTAAATTGTAGTGTCACAGCTGCATTGAAATGGTATCTTATGCTGGCATTTCCTAGTGTGTGATCAGGCAATGGTAAAGTGGGGTTTGTATCATGACCAGCTTCTGCCGGTCTGCCCTTTATTTTCAGGGAGGGACTTCAAAATCCTGCTTTAAATTATTGTCATGGTTTCTGGGAGGTGGTAAGAAATATGCTCAAATATAGACACAGTCAGGGCACTCATGATGGACAGAGTTTACTTGCTACTATTTTGCAAAGGTTTGTGTGCCAGTAAAAGGGGCTGTAAGAGTAACAATGAAACAGTAAGCAGGGAACTGCATGGATGGGGAGGGTGAGGTGGGGACACATCTCAACTATTTTTGGGTTGAGCTCCGTCTGAAATGGACTGGGAGCTGTAAAAAAAGGGAAACTACAAAATGTTCCATTTCCTTATTTTTATTTCTGCTGCATTCAGGGAAACAGGACTCATTACATTCCTGATGAGTAAATAAAGATACATGGCTTCACCACCATTCTTCTTCATCTTGGAGCGACATATGGGACCTAATATTGTGGTTAGCCACTCCAATTGGAAAGAGAGAACATTATTTTTTGTCTGATACTTGGTTGCTTCAGTTAAGTATCAACTGACCGGTCATTCAATTTGGCAAGGGTTTCAGGCAACATAAACCCTTCATTAAATCTTGTCAGGTGTATCCAAAATCTTACCTGTATTTCCTAACTTCATTAGTTGATTGCATGTTTTAATATTGTGGTTAGCCACTCCAATTGGAAAGAGAGAACATTATTTTTTGTCTGATACTTGGTTGCTTCAGTTAAGTATCAACTGACCGGTCATTCAATTTGGCAAGGGTTTCAGGCAACATAAACCCTTCATTAAATCTTGTCAGGTGTATCCAAAATCTTACCTGTATTTCCTAACTTCATTAGTTGATTGCATGTTTTTTAAAAAAGAAGAAAAAAAAAAAAAAAAAAGCTTTTCCCTAAAACCCCATTTTT